CTTCCCCCCCCCCCCATGACTCGCACTTTCAGTGCTATTGCCTTTGACTTACTGAAGAAGTGACTTAAAAATACAGTTGTACATTCAGATGACGAATTTCATTTGTTGCTTACCTTACCTTTCTATATTTTCGATATGTGTTAAGACAAGGATCGAAGCATGGCCTTAAAAGGGATAAAGCCGTTCAACTTACGTGTAGAATTCTTTTTCATTTCTTAATTCGCTGCATGAAAATGGACAATTTGGTGTCTCACGCCATGTACCAAAAAGGAGAAAGTGTATTGCATAGTTCATTTATACAAGACGCAAAAAATACATGTTAAGAGCTAAGTATGGAAGTAAATTCATATTTTTACAAATCGAATGTTAGAAGGGTACATCTGAATCGATGTATAGATTTTGGCTACGCGGAGAAACCGAGGATGAAGGCTCAGATGGTTGCAATTCGTTGAGAGTTAGTAATTTTCTGGTTTTAGTTCTCAAATATTGATCATCACGGTGAAAGGATGTGCAACTTTGCCAGCTATAACTATAGTTCAAGAGGAGGGAGTTGAAGTGGACGAGATGTAGCTGAAAACGCCAAATCAGATGCATTTCGGTTTGACATCTTCAACTGGAAAGTTTCTCAGGTACATCGCCGAATTTATGATTCTCTTTCTCGCCCACTTTCTGCAAGAAACACAGCAGATAAGTGCAGGAAGGAGTGCATGAGAATGATGTATAGAATTTCTGTGGACGTGAATCAACTGCTGCGATAGCAATCACATGGTTTCAAATGAACCTAGAAATGGTATGGATTCTTGCAACCGAGCTGCCAGGTGTAATTTTACTAGAGTGAACATATTTCTATTTCCAACTCGGTACATAAGCTAGTAATGTTTATGAAATATTTTGGTGAAGAAAAATACAGAGTTCATTGCTGATTTTTTTCTTGCCTGAACTTGAAAAAACATCAGCTGTCTTTCACGACACAAAGCATCACCGAGGAGACTGCCAAGAAGGAAAACTGAATGCATGTAGTAGTGTTTGCACAACGACACTGAACTTGTGAACTATCATCCAGGAGAATGGCTCTTTCCCAGGAAAATACGTTTCATCGCTGCGCGTGAAGAACAAATATAATATCCGTTCTAGTTTTCGACGAATAAATTAAAATCAATTTGGATCGTATGCCGGTTGTTACCTGTTGTCTGCACGATCCATTAAGGTCCAAATTAGTCGCTACTTTCACGTCATCACCGCAGATTTTTATTGGCAATAACTATATTTTGGCTGAACTCGAACTGATTATGCATCACAAACGACATTTTTTGGAAATCAGGATGTCGAGGAGGTTGTTACAGATCTTGTCATGTTATTCAACCTGGTAACTGGTGAAAATCATAATAGTGAGTTCGTTAAAGGTCGCCATTCAAAATTTATCATACTCTCACTTCGTTTGGGAAGAAAATGCTTGCCGCAAGGCCGAGACTAGACGGCATATACGAAACGTCAGTAGTTGGACGACCGGCAAGAGTTTGACATGATCGATACATCAGAGACCATCCTATTTGAGCCTCGTCAAGCGTTGGATTAGGTCTGTCGAAACTGTTAGCGTAAAAAATGTTGTTTTGACGTTCAAATTGCATTAAAAATGAGAACGTGGGATCATAAACTATCAGCGTGAATATCGTGCTGGCCAAAAATTAGCTAACAGAATCTTCTATCCGCATTTCGAAACATTCAGGAAAGTAATACGTTGTGATTGTATTGCTAGAAAGCAATTGCTCATACGCGAGGTTAAAACGGGAGGATCTAGAACAGGATCGATAGATAGCTCCAAGAAGCGCATGAAACGTAACCTTAATGACATCGTGAAAATTACACCAAACCCGAATCGTAGTTTAATATTATGAATAAGGTCTCTTTCTTTTAGATGGAGCACAACACTACATGAATCAGCAGTAGGGCTTTCCAGAAACATGGCATTGTGCTTTTTATTTTCCTCTCCACATCTCTAACGTCGACACGCAATGACAGCTACAACCATCATTTCGCAAAGTTCATATCTGTTATTAAGCTCAGAAGATGTTAACAATTTGTGCATAAACTAGGACGAAATAGCTGGGTTTTGTCTAACCAACAATTGAATCACGTGAAAAATGAGCACAGCATTTTTCCATCGGTGATTAATAGTTCTACACTGACAAGCCAATCCCATCGGTATGCAGAACACTTGAAGCCAAATTCTTAAGTCTTAGTTTTTTTAAGAGCTGTACAAGTCCACTTGGTTAATCTTTTGTGTTTCGTCAAAGAAAGCCTTGGTGGCAAATTTCATTTTCGTTTTCCTATAATTACTGTTCAAGACCTTTCATGCCATCCTCAGTGACACTGAGTGACTGGCATAACTGGACAGCTTTTGAAATAGTCCATCTGCTACCACTGAATTCAAAAGCTCGACGAATTCAAATTCACCGTTTATTCCTACTGCTCACCTGATAATCTGTATCCTTGACTTAACTGAAGGCCATCAGCGTCTTGCTCCTTTTACATAGTAGTAGTTTTCACAACTCTGCTTCATCGAAAACGCACATGCAGCACAGAATCAGCGAGTCAGATAAACGAATATCTTGAAATCGCGGCACAAAGGATGACTTTCGATAAGTGTAGAACGGCAATACAGTATTATAGAGCATTTCAAGTAAGTATAGCATCAAAAGTTCGTCGAGCGCCTTCGTTACTAGCAGTACGGTTTGGAGACTTCGAGCCATTGCAAAATGCTAACCAAAAAAAGCAAAGCATAGGCGATGATCCACGACATTACATCTATCGTTCGAAGTTTCTTCTCGATTCTATGAACTGTTCAAACGACAGTTTATGCCCATCGATAATATGCTTGGTGCCACTCATTTCTCTTTCACTCTGTTTCAGAATTCATGCAACTGGTACCTCATTTTCATATCAACCGAATCTATTAAGTTAATTACAACAGTTCCAAAAACTGATGATGATGATCATTTAGCAGTCGTCGAAAGAACACCATGATATGGAAAGATGCAGAGAAAGATTTTGTGTGCATGTGCGTGGCTTGCCTGTGAGCTGTCAGTGTGCAGTGGAACAAGCCAAACAAGTTGCAACAGGCAACGAGATTTAAAACGCTGACACTGCTAAGGCATGTTTATACAAGGGCCGAAGGGTGACGATTGATGTTCATTGAGCGAGTGACACTTACTTACCTAGATCGAGGGCCATGCCGATCTCGGCGCCCGAGTTCGAGTGAATCGTGTGACTGTTGATGCATGTCTTGCAGAAGATAGTAAAGAACTGCTCCTTCGACGGCATGTGGCAGGTGAGAAAGCGCTGCGCTTTGTCGTACATAGCGTCGAACTGGTTCATCTTCGCGTCGTCGGCGCGAACCTCATCCTCGTGCGACATGAGGTCGGCGAACTCGCGCTGGGCCTGGTACTGGCGTGTGTGGCCGTGCTGCTGCATGAAATTCAGCTTGTCTATGACACGTCCGAGAAACAGCACGTCGGTTAGTGGCAAATGAGGGAACGACTGCCTTAACCGCTCGCATTCCAGCTTGTGGTCGCACCAGCCCGCCCGTTGGCAACTCTTGTCGCAGTAGCGGAACCAATGGCATCCACTGCACA